CACTCATATACAACTCACCTGACAGTCTCCACCAATAATGTAATTATCTCGTGCATCGTCAAGTAATCTGCAAGTTGCGAGTTCCTTCGATAGCCCCAGGAATGCTTGTCAATTGTCATGCAATTCTCCCATTTATGATTAACAAGTTTTCCTTGAGTTAAAATAAAATAAATTATGTAATAATAATATAGTAATTATGAAGAATCAAAATGATTTAGAAAATGTATAATGATTAAATAATTAACACATTAACAATGATAATTATATATTCCACACAGTGGCAGCTGTCCTCTGGCTCAGTATAGCTGATGAAGGCCTGAGGACTGGCTGAACATTTCTTTTGGTACAATAAATAAATACAGTACACAAAACAAACAGTTTGTGGAAGTGGATTGGTGCAGGGGGAATGGTTGGGGTTTCAATCCTATGCTGTGCATTTCACTTGTGTCCTTGAGCAAGCCACTTTATCTACATTATTACTTCTGTTTTCCCAGCTGTAAATAGTTAAAAACTGCCCACACGAATAAAATATACAAGCGGTACTGGGTAAAGAAAACTTCAGTCTACCCAGCTGTATGGGTACCAGCAAATTGCAAAGGGAAACTTGCGGTGGACCAGTGTTCCCACCCGCATCGAATATCGTACTCGTACAGGCTACAGAAACTGGGGTTAAGCTCCAGCCCTATGAGCCCTAGTGGCTCAGGGATTTACTATTCCAAAACATTTTCAAAAATAGATAAAGAAGATTAATTGCAGGTAAGTACCTGGATTATATCGGTCTTGACAGGTGTAATACCCTCCATGTTTGCAATTGGTGTCACTCCCCCACCTGTCATTCGTCACAACAGTGTCCTTAACCGGGCTGAATCAGAAAGGTAAAACACTTTTATCCAAATCATCTTTAGAACAAGATTTTACTATGTAATTCGTTTAATTTCTTAACAATAGGCAGATTTTTGCAACCTTTTTGAAAATGATAACAAATTTGAATACATCATTATCATTATTCTAACATATGCTGTACGAGCTGAATGATCTCTGATTTATTAATGCAAACACATGAATCGCCTATGTTGATGACATAGGGGAAGGGTTGTCTGAAAATGTAATGACATTACCGTATTAGTTATCATTTTTGTAAGCTTGCAAAAACTTCCTATAATCTTGAAGACACCTTCTCAAAATACTGTTGAATAAAAAAATAAATCAAGACATGAAAAAGTTAAACATAATACTTCTGCATTCCAACTATCAAGAAAACCAGAAATCTATGAGGGCGGATGTTGCTATGCAGCCATTTTGGTAAAATATTTGTAATGATGTAAATACAAATAAGGAAACAAACAAAAACGGATCCAGAGCTTTTCTTTTAAGAGAGCTCAAAATATATAAATCTAAAATTCTTAAACTGAAGTAGAAATGTTCGGGATTTTTTAATGTACTCTAATCTTGAGTCATATTCGTTGCATTTTTGGTCAATTTTTAAAGTCTAATTATCATTTGGAGTGGTCAGGCAATAATATTGGATACGGTTTCATTCAATGAGCCCCTGTGCCA